ATTCTTATCATCACCATTATCGTTGTTGTTGTACATCAGTAGCCACATGATCATTTACACCATGAAAAACCTAAAAAAAAAGGACAAGGTTTTAAAATTGTTAGTAGGAACTCAAATTCTTACAGTTACAAGTCAGGAATGACAACATTTAAAACTATTGTAACTCTTCTGATATACGAGGTGCAATCAGAAAGGTTCCAGACTGTGTCAATAGAGGGCGAACCGGATGTAGTACGAGCTTCTGCCGCTAAGGGGTTGGGCCTACATTCATAGTGAATCAGTGTGCCAGCCGGCATCATCGAATTAGCATTTGTTTCTTAGTTACGGGCGTTTTGGTAGTGCATTACACCGACCCTCCTGCGATTTCGGAATGGCGGATTTTCATGAACAAAGAGTGTGCATCAAATTTTGCCAAAGACTCGCCAAAACGGCTACGGAAACCTATGAAATGCTAAAGCAAGCATTTGGGGAGTCCGCAATGGGTCGTGCACAAACTTTTGTGTGGCATTCACGTTTTAAAAATGGCCGAACCTCTGGCGATTATGACGAGCGTTCTGGACGACCATCTCCGAGCACAACGCCCGAAAATGTTACCAAGATTCGGCAGGCCATTCACGAAGATCGACGTCGTACCATCAACGACTTGTGCGACATTGTTGGGATAGGCTATGCGACCTGTCAGCTGATTCTAAAGGAAGAACCCCACATGCGACGCATCCTGTCTGAGGACCAGAAGCAGAATCGACTTCTCGTTAGTCAGGAGCTCAAAGATCTTGCAAGAACCGACCCCAACTTCCTTTCTAAGCTCCGTGTGACTTCTCCCTCTTCCCAAAGATGAAAATTCAGCTAAAGGGAAGGAGATTTGAGACGATAGAAGAGATTCAGGCAGAATCGCAGATGGTGCTTGACAGGCTGACAAAGAAAGATTTCCAGGGATGCTTCCAGGCTTGGCAGCGGCGCTGGGATCGTTGTGTTCACTCCCAGGGGAACTACTTCGAGGGTGATGGATGAATTTAATACCTGAGATAAGTGTACGGGTTTTTATAGGCGCAGTCTGGAAACTTTCTGATCGCACCTCGTATTTCTCGAGATTGGATCATGGTGTGAAGTCCCCATGCCGACAGACTGGAAGATTTTAGTGTCCTTTTCTTCCTTTCATCACATTTGTTATGTCTTTATGTGCAGAAACCAAGCAGAAGTTGTGTTATGTTACACATATTTTGTGTGATGAAACAAGAATTGCAGGAATTGGTAATCACAAACTCAATATTCTGGCGAAGAAAGTGGTAATGGACTACATTTCAGTGTTAACTGTGTGTGTGTGTGTGTGTAAGTGGGTCGTGAAACCCAATGTACACTTTGTTTCTGTCCGCTTTCCAGACAAACGCAATGTAGAAGATGATGAATTGCCAGAAGTGGATCAGAACACAAATAAGTCACTGCGATCTCGGGCTACTGCAGCGAAGTCAAAATGAAATGCATGTAAGAGTCATCCACATTCTCCAAGAGAAAGCAGAGATAAATAAAGGAGTGACAGACATCATCATGCCATTTTTGTGCTTAACACCTTTCCCTTTTCCTGTTTTTTTTGTCAAATTTTGTTATGTCAGGGTTATGTATGTAGGTGTCATTCTGTATTTTTATTTTCATCACATAATATGTATGTACTTCTTCCACCTTTCTGCCTTCTGATCATAATGTGTGTCATTAAACTGAAACATTATTATGCCATCCGTTGTCAGTAGACTAGACCCTTGTAGAAGTGTAAGCTTATGAAACTTCTCAGAATGAAATAAAAGCATAGGACCTGGCTCCCTGCTGCTCTTTTATATTTTGGGATTGCTTTATAGACTTAAGGGGTTCATGTACTTTACTAATCACTTGCAATTAGCGCTCTTGATGTTGAAATTTATTATCGGTTTCACCTTAACTCGGAACTGCATTTCAGTTGAGATTTGCTTCCTATGAGAAAAGCGTCAAGATGTAAAGAGGCTGGAAACATCTCCATATGCCAGTTCTTTAAAAAGTACATCAGTTATAAGGTAAAATGTCTTGTTTTCTTGTTTAGTTTTAAATGAATAACATGTTCATGTTCTTTGCTTTTCCTTCCAAATATGTATGTATTTATGTTACCTCTAAGAGGATGTTCTGAGACGCTCGGGAACTTGGATCTCGCAGTTTTCTATGTGAGATTGTTGTATAAAATGACTTATATGTTTTGAAATATTTATTTTTGACAAAGAATGCTTATTTGATTATTGTGTTTTATGAGTAGTATTTAATATGACATTGAAAGTGCTGTAAATTGTGTGAGAAAATAATAATCTAAAGTTTGCAGTTCATATATAGCACGGCAATTTGGTGCTGAAACCTCAGATGCATATGCGTGAACTGGAGGGGATTCCTCTCATTGCTTCTGTGCAAGAGTACGTTCAGTTCTTGTCTTCATTCTGGGTACTTAAACTGCGTGTGGGAATTTTAAGTGCTGCTGATGTCTTGGCTCAGAGTAAGAGGGGTAAATTCTTGTCAGTGATAAACTGATTATGTTCTGGAACAGAAATGCCTATGCCCTTGTAATGTAATACAAAATTAAAAATTCGTGTTTCTCCATAACAAAAACAATTTCATTTACTTTATACGTGAAGCACCAACACCTGCTTATATAGAGTAGTGTGGCAGTGCATATCTTGGAAATTGAAGGAAAAACATGTTTTCAAAAGTGGATTTCCCCCTACTTTTTCTTTTCCTTTAGAGCTTAATGTCCGGGCCACTTTTATTGGGAATTGTGTGGTTGGGCTGTTCGTAGTACCCGACCACCAAAATGGCGTTTCGTATTGTGTGTACCTGCAGGAAGTCCTACCGATGCTCTTTGACGACGTGCCATTGGCTGCTCGACGCCACATGTATATTCAACACGGGGCGTCGGCACAGTTTAGCGACGAGTGGCTAGGACCGTTGTCGCCGGACTTGAACCCTCTGAACTATTCCGTCTGGGGGAAACGTGAATGGAATTTTTTGCAGGTATCCTCCGACTGACGTGCAAGACTGACAGCAAAGTTTTGTGCTGCTGTGGCGACCAGTGATGCAGACATGTCAACGACATTTGCAAGGTAGTGTTCCACGGCGTATCTGCTGTAGTATCTAGAGTTGTACCCTAATCAAGTGTTGTTTGTTCTGACACGTGTGAGCTATGCATTCTTTTTATGTACGCTGGTCTTTTAGGTTAAGTCACTTGTTTACGAGCGTCACCTTCAGCTTCTTTGTTTGACAAGACTAAATAATGCCTTCATGGATGTAGTAGCGGACGTCATTATTTCGTGCGCATAAAATTAATTTATTGATGCAAAAGTGTCTCTAATTAACAACGCAGTGCTTGTAAGTTATTCACAAGCAGCAACGACGTTATTGGGAGAAAAAGTTGATTTGCAGTTTGTAAACAATTCTCTATCGATTATTATTTGTACTATATCAGGGCTGTCAACATTTCAAGACCAAAAACAGCGCGTAACTTTCAAATAGAGCAACAGGTCGCCTCCTCGGAACTTCGTGGTAATTTATTTTAAATGCAGAACAAACATTGTAAAATTTTATTAATTATTTATGAAACAATTTTGTTGAATTGTAATTCTTATTAACTGTTCATTTAAAATTGCGTAAATATTACAAGGCAACATTCTTTCATGACAGAGTGATACAATTTTACAAGTATATATGTGGGCCCTAGAACACATTTTGGCGGGCCGAGAACCCTTATCTGAATAATTTCAGCAAATTATATTTTACCAACATTGATATTTTCATGTCTTGTTCTTTTCAAATGCTGTACCCTTAATCAGTAAATGAACTTGGTTTACCTTGTGTGAGCCGGTTAGCTCAGTC